AAGATTTGACTAAAATGTCATTCTACACTATAAATTATATTGAATTATTCTATTTTGATTCACCAACCATTAATTTTTTTTTTTGGCCTAGAATTTTTTACTGGTTTTCCTAATGACATTGCGCTGGTAATGTAGACGGTCTACTGCAACTTTCAACTTGACTTTCAAATAAAAAAACACGGTCAATAAGTTGACTTTCAACTTTCCCTTTTAGTGCAACTTTCCTTTCTACTGTAACTTTCCCTTCTTTATAGTACTGCAACTGTCTTCTTCAATTCTCTACTGGTTTGCAGATGGTTTTGATTGGGTGCTACGCTTCCATTGTTGTTAGGAATGGGTTCTTTGGAGGGGAATCTGAAACCTTAAAATATAAATACAGCAATACCACACTGCTGATGATAGTTAATTTTATTAGCCATCAAGTGTTTCTGTAGTTTTGCACTTGTAAATATTAAAAGAATAATAATGGTTAAATAGACCATCACTGAACTACATGCGAAATTGTAATTAGGTCATCCAATTCAAAAAAGAAGTAATTGTAGCCCTGAACAACATCATAAAATCATCTAATCTAATATAAAATAATATGTTTACTTGATATTTGTTAATGTGGTGATTACCGTATTAAAAAGTAATTTTTAAAATTTTATTTTAATAATTTTAAATAAAGTAAATAAAATTAAATAAAAACAAAAAATTCACCCCCGCACCTCGCCTCTGAAGATGAAGACCATTTCTTTGTCTCCAGCTTGGAGACAAATAGAGGTTCTTTGTTTCCACTGGCACACAGGTAGGTGTTTTGGTGGGTTTTTGTTTTTAAAATTATTAAAATTAAAATTATTAATTAATTAATAATAATATTAATTATTAATATTAATAATATTAATTATTAATTATTATTATTATTATTAATTTTTTTAATAATATAACTATCATATTAATTAGCAAACACAAGATAAACATGTCATTTTAGAGTTAAGTGCATGATTTTGTGTTGTTCAATGATCCAATTGCAGTTTTTTTTTTTTTTTTTTTTTTTTTTTTTATAGTTAGACTTACCCAATTGTAATTTCGTATATAATTCAGTGGTCTATTTGATCTTTATTCCTTTAATTTTAAAGACTAGTTTACTCAATTCTATAAACTCATATACTAATATACTACGGAATAATTGTAACCATAACTTAGTACCACGAGAATTTAGAGTATACAAGATTTCTCATATCTTCTATATCACCTATATATAAGAGTCTTCAATCCAAAAGAATTGTTAAAAATAAATTGTTACTTGAGACTAACAAGACAATATCCAAAAATTCTTTAAGCTTATAAGTATCCTCTGGATGTTGAATATCAGCTCACCATATGATGTGGTTCTTCCTTTATGTTTATATAGTAGACACTAGACAGTTCCAATTTTTATTGAAATAAGGAATAACTAGTTTATTCATGAACCTCTCTAATTCTAATTTAAACAAGAATAGTTTTTGAACTTCAAAACTTTTATTTCGACTTAACTTCAAGATTCTTAATTCATTCTTTTTTGCTTAACCTCTAAGATCTCTGGAAGAATACAATTAAATTTCACTTTGAAGATGAGAAAGAAATGAAATTATTTCCAAATTCTATATATATGTTTAGCTAAAATATATTGCCATCATAAAATTGATATTAACAATTAGTACATAGAAAATTCTCCATCATATATCATTTACATCATGTAGATATTCATCACGTACAAAAGTACAGAGCTGAGAAACTGAAGAACCATATAACTTAGCTTCCAGCTAGCTCTGCATTGATATATTAAACACTTAACAGTACAATACATTACAGTTAGATAGCGATGAGCTAATAAGTGAGTGGTTGAATATATATAATTGTTAACTTACGTGGTCTGATGATGATCTGATTTGTGTATATATAGTATTTATGATGTCATGTGTAAGATTTGAGAATGGATCCACAGAAAGTGCAGACGATGGCCTTCCAAGACTTGTAGTAAAATGGGACGTAACAGAACCTGGTGGCGGTTGTCATATCGGCAACGGCGGCGCTACGGCCGCACCGGGAACACGAACCCGCCACCGGCTTACTTCTCCTCACCTTCCTCTTCTGGTCCACCAAGAAGCAAAAGCAAACCATCTTCAACTCTGATCGATCGATCTCAAGCTTAAATTAATTATATATTGCTTTCACAATCACAGGCACTATATATAGGAGAATATAATTTCTTCGTAGCTAAGGATGATATATGTTTAATGTCTAATTAATTGCATAGCTGGAAGATGTACCACGTATGAGTATATGACATTGCCAAGTCATCACGTGGGGCACGTTACCTTTTTTTTTTTTTTTTTTTTTGTGTGTGTAATTTGTAAGTTTCATATTTATTTATATATATTGTTATAAAGATTTTAATATGGATATTACATTATGACTATTCATGTCAATGTTTTGTAACAGTCATTCTTTTCCTTGTTTCTACTCTCTGTTTTCAATATATACGAGCATAATAATCTATAACATATACAAATTAATACAACAATCGCTTTTTTACGATTGAAAAAATCAAATTTATCTACGATTTCATCCCAGCCTTATGGGTATTAATTACTCATTTAAAAGTTGTCTCAAACAAATTATTTACCTTTCACAAAGCAATTTTTTTTTTTTTTTTTTGAAAATTCATAAATTATGTGAAGGGCGGGGGCGTTGCGTGCATGCCATATGTGCAAGTGCAGTTGAGAGTTGCATTAATAAAAGGGAAGAAATTAAAATTAAATTAAAGTTGGGTGGATGATTGAAGTGCAGTGGGTGGTGTACGTGTACATCAAAACTCATACATGTTGGCTCACAATTTTAAGCTTTGATCTTAGAACTCCGCATTTACATGCTCTGAATCAACCCATTTCATGAAAATAACTGCTCACCAAATTTAAACCAAACATATATATATATATATATATATATATATATATATATATCATATTATATTCTTCAATTCTAATGAGTAAATAATTGCCCAACGTATTGGAAAAGCGTTTGCTCAAGTAGGGTGAAGTTAGTCAAATCAGTAAAATGATGTAATCTTTAAAATAAGTGCTATAATGAAAATTTTATGTTGTAGATTACTAAAAAGATTTAATAATTAAAAGTTTATTGTATTTAGAAGTTAATTGTTAAAAAAGTAATAAAATTAATTAATATCTCGATAATAAGTGATCCAACTAAAAGAATCTCTCCTAAATGTGCCATTTTGTTTTGAGTACCATAAAATACTTAATTAGTTTGAACCAAGAAATTGTGAGGTTAAATTTCTTACGTTTTTTAATATCTTCGAATCTGACTCTTATGAGGAAGAGAACTGTATAAACTGTATTAGATAAATAATGATTACAGTAAAAATTAAAATTAAAATAATTTTTATATATAATTTGACATTGTGACATCATATTTAAGGGAAATTTGGAAGTAACTTATAAAAAATGCTATTTACACAATTTTTAAGTTTTTAATAGTTTGATTACACATTTTTTTGTTCGATAGTTAAATTGCACTAAACATTGTGCATTAGTTCATTCATGCAATGCACGTGCAAAACTTGTATATATTATAATGAAAAAATATCATTTTTAGTTAATTAATATTAGTTCTTGACTATTAAAATTTTCAAATTAGGTGCATGACAATTCAATTTGTATCACATTTGGTTCTTAATTATTAACATTTTCAAATTAGGTGCATGACTTTTCAATTTGTATCATATTTAATCCTATCATTAAATTTTCTAGCCAAGTCACCAGTGACCGACTAATTTATTTAATTTTTATTTTAAAAAAATATTTTAATACTTTTTAAATTAAAAAACTTAAAAAAAAAAAACAAAATAAAATAAAGAAATTGCCGGCCACCCTCCTTCTTCGTCTCCGATGGAGACAAAGGAATAAGGGGAAAAAGAGAACGCCGACTACCCCACCTCCTTCTTCCTTTGTCTTCACGAGGGGGTGGGATGGACTTCGTTTTTTTATTTATTTTATATTTTTGTTATTTTTAAGGTTTTTAATTTAAAAATAAAAATTAAATAAATTAGCCGGTCACCCGAAAAATTTAACGACATGACCAAATGTGATACAAATTGAATAGTTATGCACCTAATTTGAAAATGTTAATAGTTAAGGACCAAATGTGATACAAACAGAATAGTTATGCACTAAATTTAAAAATTTTAATAGTCAAGGACTAAAATTAATACTTGTATTATAGTCAAGGAACTAAAAATGATATTTTGACAAAATAAAAACTCTTTGAATTACGGAGTATAAAATAATTTCATTAATTAATGAAAATGAAATTATGAGGAGGATGTGAGGCAATTTATATCCTACACCACGGCGTACATTGCACTATGCGCCCAAATATAAAACGACGTCGTTTTAATTAATTTTTTTTTGAAATTTCCCGCCCCAGTGAATGGCAGTAGGCTTTTCTTTAAAAAAAAAACCCGCTGTTCAAGAATGTACATAATGTTATACTTGAATACACATAATGTTATACATGAATACACATAATGTTATAACAAAATATACATACTCTTTTTAAAAGATAATACACATAATCTAACATAATACATAATAAACATAAACTTTTAACATAATACACATCAACTTTTAACATAATACACACAAATTTTCTGATTCGGATGTACATAATTGTATAAAAACAATGTACATAATTGTATAAAAAATACACATAACTGTATGAACCAATACACATAACGTTGTGAACGAATACACATAATCTCAGCAACTTCCTACCGCGCCTCCCAACACGACCCCAAAACGACATCGTTGTGGGAGGCGCGCGGCGCACAGTGCTATGTGCGCCGTGGTGTAGGATATAACGATTGGAGGATGTGAATCCGTGAAATTTAATGGGCCAAAAGCCCATTTCCTATTGCATTATAATTCTCGTAGACAAAAATCCTACTGGAAAATTATGTTCAGAGTTGGAGTGTGTGGCAACGGTATCAACATTTCTCTTTTTCTCACACAAAATGCAAACCGTTCAACGTTGTTGAAAAGTTGGATCTCCAATTACAGTAATGCGGCGATGTGTTCCAACTCATAATTCTTCAGGCGAAGCTTTTTACGTTTTCATCGCCTTGCAGGCATCGGATCCACCCACCCGTTTCTTCACCGCTCCCAGGAAAGAGGGCGGGGAGGTTTCTTTCCTTCTGGGGAACTCCAGAGAAATTGTAAGTCATGGACAAGGGTAAGTACTCAGAGGAGTTGAATGTGGCGGTCCGGGTGGTGCATATGGCTTGCTTTCTCTGTCAAAAGGTGCAAAAGGGTTTATCTTTTTCCATTTCCGATGACGTGGTTCAGTCCAAGGACGACGATTCCCCTGTAACTATCGCAGGTGCAATTTCATGTTTTATTAATTTTTCATCTCTTTGGGTCCCACTCAATTTCCCTCTTTAACTCTTCATTGTCTTTGTCAATCTCTTCTGCTTCAAGTAGCAGATTCATAGAATGTTGCTCCCAGGCCACTTCTACTGGGAACTGGCTGTAGAACTAGTAGTGTTCTTCATGCTTTATCTAGGATAGTAATCTTCCTGCTTGTGTGGTAGTATAAGAATGAACGGAACCACTATCTAAGAAATGTGATCCTTGTTATTAAATAAGATTATCTGAGTACCCAATTTCACTGTGTGGGAGGATGAGTTTGTTTCTGACAGACAAATCTTTAATTAATCGTATATGTTTTTTTTTTCCTGTTCAGTTTCATTTGCCAACTATCTGCCGAGTCCTTTAAGTTATCTATGTCTAACAGGCTCTTGCATGATTCTTTTGCATGAAAAGATTGGAGTGTCCAAGCAACAGTAAGTTGGATCCTGTCTGAAAATTTTGGTGCTGAAAATGTTTCGATAGTTGCTGAAGAGGATGTTCGAACTCTTTCAATGTCTGAATCAGCTGGTATACTGGATAAAGTCATCACCACAGTGAATGAATGCTTGGCTGAAGCACCTAGGTATGGCCTAAAGGGTCCCGGTGTAGCTCTGGAACGATCACAAGTTCTTGAAGCTATTAGGAGATGCAATTCGAGTGGTGGTCCTGTTGGCAGGCATTGGGTCCTGGACCCCGTTGATGGGACACTGGGGTTTGTTCGTCGGGATCAATATGCTGTTGCTTTAGCACTGGTTGATAATGGAGAAGTTGTTATTGGAGTGCTGGGATGTCCTAATTATCCAATGAAGGTGCAGCTTAATAACCAAAATCAGCAGAATCATACAATGCCCGACATATACTGGACCTCCACGGGAAAGCATGAGGAAGGATGTGTCATGTACACAAGTCGAGGTTGTGGCCGTTCTTGGATGCAGCCACTGGTTTTTGACACCGACAAGAAGTTTGAATGGCCAAACTTTGCAAGAGAAATACGGGTTTCTTCTATTGATGATCCAGAACTGGCGACTATTTGTGAGCCAGTAGAGAGAGCTAATACAAACCATTCCTTCACAGCTGGACTTGCTTCTTCTGTTGGGCTCAGGTTTCATAATACAAATTCTCCTTTTAAATATTCATGGTTTGCTGTTCTCTACTTAAGAATTCCTCGTTGATCAAAACTGTGATGTAGAATAGTTATTGTCATCTTTTGGAAGGTTATGAGTTTAAGATTAGTGAATTACTTAACAAAATGAAAGTACCCATTGTCCCTTTCTGAACACAGGATGGACATGTTCCCCTTTGTGATGGTTTTGGGTGTTTTGACTTGAGTTTTGCTAAAATTCCCAGCTCAATACCTTGAGTGAGCCCTTGTCTCCTCTCAGACAATTATTTAGTATTATTGAGTTTAACGTTATCCAAATTTGCTTAAGAAGTTCTGTCTCTATCTTTATGTTCTTCGACATTTGAAACATTATAGACATGTTTTCAGGAATGACAGACATGCATGCCACTTTTAATATTGTAGTCGTCACTATTGGCAGGAAGCAGCCCTTGCGCGTCTATAGCATGGTGAAGTATGCTGCCATAGCCTGTGGAAATGCGGAGATTTTTATGAAATTTGCGAGAGCTGGATATAAGGAAAAGATATGGGATCATGCTGCCGGTGTTCTTCTTGTAGAGGAGGCCGGGGGTGTGGTAACCGATGCAGGAGGGCGCCCGCTTGACTTTTCAAGGGGGGTATACCTTGAAGGTCTTGACAGGGGAATAGTAGCTTGCTCCGGAGTTAAGCTGCATGACGCGATTATTGGAGCTGTTTATGCAAGCTGGGAATCATCTAGTCTATAACCCATTCTCTGCTCCAATATCATGGCAGCGGCCCAACGCCATCGCAGTGCTTGCAGCTCGGTAAGTGATTTCAATAACTTGAACATTTTCCCGTAAACATCTCCCACACTTTCAACTGTGTTGAGCATATAGCCATTAATGTGCAATCCAATTATCAGCTTAGGCTTTTAGTTGTGATGGAGCACATGCTTGAATTTGGTTTCAGAGCCAGACCAAAGGTCATGGGTTCGAATCTTGCTTTGAAACTCTGCTTTTTATTCTAACTTACATTCCCCATCTGAAAAGCCTAGTTGAAGTTCACCAAAATGTAGTTGATTGCAGAGATAAACACTGTGTTCTGAATCAGCGGCTATACACTCCCCCTTGTTTCAAGAAGAGAAAATGGAAGAGAGACTGTAAATTTCCAAGAAAACAAAAATTTGAAAGAACCAGACCCAATGTTGGATTGCTGGCTGTTCATTAATATATTTAATGGTTTAACATTAAACTTTTTGAACTTTGATGCTATGTTAGCAGAAGTCAATGAAAGCCAGCACATACTTTGAAGTGTTCTTCCTATGGGCTATGCCTACTTTGCAAATAAAAGTAATTCTGGTAGATAAGATACTAAGTTTCAAAGTTTGAGATGGTCAACATTTGTGAATGCAATTAATTGTCGGCATGAGTTGGGTTGGGTAAATCTCACTTTTGTTGGGCCAATTTTTATAATCTTTCCATGAATTGGCACTTCATAATTAAAAAATACAATATAAATAAATTGAGAATGACCTAATCTACACACATGTTAAATCTCTTTTTATTTTTATTTTTATAGTCTAGTATGTGCATAGAGAAGTAAATTGATGTTCGACATGTGCATAGAGAAGTAGGGCTGTTAACTCGATACGAACACGAGTAGTTTACTGAAAGTTTTGAAAGCTTTGTTTATTAATACCCTTATTAGTCATGTCATATATTTTTATAATAGTGACTTCTAGTTTCATTTTCTTCTTTATTTAAAAAAGAAAAATAACAGGTTATCAAATTTTATTAATGCCAGGGGAATTTACTAAAGTATTATTTTCTAAAAAATGGACAGGCATCATAATTAAATGCTAATTAAGTTAGTATTACCTTGTGCTTTGCACCCAAATATAGAATACGGTGTTGGAAAACGTAAAGCGCGGGTGGAATCATAATTTTCTGCATTTTATCAGATTTTGTTTTGGGTAAGCATATGATATCCTTGACTGAAGATCCGAGGTTGTTGCTTTCTGTCATTCCGTACCGAATTTTATGCTCCTTGTCTACTTGCATTTCTTTTTTTTCCTCATTTTTTTGAGGTACTAGCATGGTTTTGCAATGAATTATTGTTATACTATACATGAATTAATTCCACATTTAAAATCATTAACTTTAGTAACATTGTCATATTTAATCTTTTTAAATCTTATTACAATATGACTTTCATTTTCTTGCCTACTTGCAATTCACTAACAAATTATAACTTGTTTTTCATTATAAAAATAAAATAAAATTTTAAGTTGGAAGTGATAGAAGGCAGCAAAATTAGTTTTATGGTTTTAGCTCTTGATTGTAGTTTTTTTTTTTTTTTTTTTTTTTTTTTTTTTTTTTTTTTTTTTTTTGGGTGAGGTGATGGAAATGAAATATCTATTCTTTGGCATTTTATGTTCTGGAATTCCCGCGTTCTTCACCTTTGGAATCCACGCAGCGGCGCTTCTAATTATTCAAAATATCCACCTACTTAACGTCTTTTTATATCATCCTAATATAATATTCACCCTTTTAAAAATTATATATATATATATATATATATATATATATATATATATATATATATATATATATATTTGAATGACAAAGAGCCCTCAGGATCTTTAAATCTGATGAAAGGGGAGAGTAATATTGCACTATGACAGAGTATTAAAAAATTGACAAAAATGATTTCTAAAAGATTGTTTGAATAAATGTAAAAGTTGAATGAAAGTAGTGCAGTAATAACCTCAATCTCATCATTCTCTAGACATGATAATTCAAAATGTCTTTGGGGGAAGATAATTCAAAAATCTCTATCATTACCAAATACTAAAAGAAATATAATATTGTTGAGTAATTTAAAATTAGGGAAAAGGGTAATCAAACAAATGGTTTGCGACTTCTGATTGGGGTAAGAGTGTAAGACGGTGAAGGGAAAGGGTAATTGTTAAAGGAGAAGCATCATATATTTATATAATCTTTATCTCAAGAATCTCCAACTCAAATGGTCCCTACATCAACAAAACATTTAAGAAAATATAAATCACAATGACTCAAGACTAACAGAAAGAACCAAATGTCGATGTAGACGAGAAATCTATTCACATTAAAAATAATTTCTATATTGTCTAATGTCACAATTGAGATTTAAATTTTGACATCTTCTCTCAAATACTAAATTGCGGACTATATTTATATAATCCTTTAGTCATTGATTTAGAAACCCCTTGATTAGCGGAGCTTACTGCTAAGACTTTGCTTCAATTACATACAATTCCGGAATCCGTCCTTGGAATTTTGTCAGAAAATGACAAACCTTAAAAATGACAGATATATACAATAAAAGATTACAGTCCAATACCCCCCCAAAAAAAGTAACTTCAATTGTGTATTTAATAACCATTGATTCATATGATTTGACAGAGCCTGCAAAACTTAATGTGTGACAAAAGGTGAATATCTTATATTATCTCTGTCTCAGTTTGTATATTCCATACCTTATATACTACTCCGTATTTACTAAATTAGATAAAATTATAGGAAAATAAAGATTTATTACTCATGCAAAAATAGAAAATGATATCATTATTATTTCTTAGAGTAAACATATTCCTTAATCTGGCACATCAAGATTGATTATCAAATCAAAACTCGGTATTGAATCTCACTATAAATCTGAGGATCATTGGTAATAAAAATTCATTGTGCACAGATTGTACAGGTAAGAAATGAAAACTTGAAGACTGACGGGATCACGAGACGATTTAGAATTTACTTCCTATAACTATTTTTAAGTAGGAGGTCTATGATTAATATAACGTAAAAATGTACTAAAAAAAGAGAGAGAAAGAGGAACATCCATTTGGAGGACAGAGCATGAAGGGGAAATGATGAAGGGAAGGAGACCACTTCCTTACGTGTCAGTTGATCGGGTCGTTGCTTTCAACCCGCCGGGTCCCCCTCTACCATTTCCTTGTGTTTTACCATTCCAATTTTCCAATGCTCAGAGTTGACACTTGACACCGTACGTTATATATATATAATACGCCAATCTATGTATTGTATCGTATGTATGCCTACATAATACGGAGTATATATATATTCCTCTCTTTTCATCTGCAGAGTACTCTCCACTCGCAGAAACCAGAAAAAAGTTGGAATCAAGTGGGAAAAAAGCTACACCAATATATACAAATTCAGGGCTCACCTCAAAGAAACCGCGTCGCTGACATATATGAACTCTCCGACTTCAAAAAGGGGGAGCTAAGCTTTCATCATCTTCATCCCACCACTAATCTTTTCCTCATCTCCTGTCCTCTGTCATATACACTCTTACCGTGTTGTGTTGGGATCTCCAATTTATTCTCTCTCTCTCTCTCTCTCCTTCTGCATTCTTTCCCCGGATCTGATTGCATCCCATACTGTAGCTCTGTTTCCGAAAATGGAAGTAGGCAGCAGCCAAACTTTGAAAGTTGCGAGCTAGATTTACCCGATTTAATCTGTTGCCTAGTTAAATCTTGGACCTCTCTAGTATCTATGCTACACTACTAGTGTGTACTGCTATTATCAGTAAGTGTAAATGTCAGACTCAATCATTTTCCTGCGAATTTTGCTTGGCTTTTACTCAGCAATCATGTGTTTTTGATGATTGAAGTTGTGGGTGAGTGCAGATTTTGAGGATATATTGTCAAAGGTGAGACCTTTGTAGTGTTTCATTCAAGAAAAAGGAGCATCGGCGCGGCGTGGAGAGTAATGGGGAAGACGGGTAGAGATTGGACGCAGATCTATGGGATTTATGGCGTTGATGATTGGCAAACACCTCTGTTTCTTTTGATTCATGCCGTCTTCTTCTCCGCTCTTTCGGTGTTTTTTCTCATTTACTTTGAACCCATATGCTTCTTTTTCCAGCATTTTGTGCCCGGGCCGGGTCTCGCGGGCTTCGCCGCGGGATTCACCGGCTCCGTCACTGCCCTCTCCGCCGTTTGCCTCTTCGTCGCCGCCGGGAACATATTCTACTCCTCTGTTCCGCTCCACTGGGAAATGGCGCAGCGCATGGTCAAAGCCGTCGGGGACTGGTCATCCGTGAAGCACGCCCTGGACCTCGGCTGCGACCGGGGAATCCTCCTCAACGCCGTCGCGCTCCAGCTCAAGAAATCAGGGTCCTCCGGCCGGGTTGTCGGGTTACACCCGGCCCAAAGCCGATCGCTCTCCGTCCTCCGGACGGCGGGAATGGAGGGCGTCCAGGAGTACGTCACGTGCCGCGCCGGCGACCCGAGGACACTCCCGTTCGCCGACAACTGCTTCGACGTGGTCGTGTCGGCAGCGTTCGTGCACACCGTAGGAAAGGAGTTCGGGCCGCGGACCGCGGCGGCGGAAGCGGAGCGGATGCGGGTGTTAGAGGAGGTGGTACGGGTACTGAAGCCCGGCGGCGTTGGGGTGGTGTGGGACCTAGTCCACGTACCGGAATACGTGAAGAGACTGCAAGTTCTGAAAATGGAGGACATTCGGGTCTCGGAGCGGGTCACGGCGTACATGGCCAGCAGCCACATCGTATCATTCCGGAAGCCATGTCAGCATTACGTGGGCCCCTTCGAAGTCAGACTGGATTGGAGATAGATTCAACAGTATCTGCTAAGAGTGGAAACTTGAGAAAGGAGATAACACAATTTGCTTATTTCCTTAATCTTTTTATTTTCATATATATCAAGTATAAGGCACAGTAAATATCTGGGGAAACAAAGTGGAACCAGATGCATTGTAAATCCAAAAATAATGTTTACATAAAAAAATACATACATATATATATAGTCTTTTCGGTACCATACCTCCATGGTATCGGATAATTAAATTATGTCTCGACCATTTAAGAGTCGAGCTGTACTTATACTCCATTTATAATGTTTGGATTTGAATTTTTAACTTACAGGAGTATAGTGTACAACTTTAATACTGTTGTGATGTTGTGAGAAAAATTTTACAATAATATGAGTGTATTATGTATTTGTAAAGTTCGTGTAAATTTGCAAAGTAGTATATGACATTGTAACTTACAACATTGTAAAATTTCTCTATGATAACTAATAATGTACTATTTGAAGTTAGGTAACAAGTCGATGAAATATTTGAATTTAAATTAAAGAAACGTGAAAGAGAGTGGAGTGGGGGAAGAGAATTTTGTAGTGTTGGTATAAAGGTAGGAAAATGGGAAGGGTTGCTAAATGGTCAAAATCAGAGACACCTTGACAGCAATGTGAGTATGAAAGCTAAGGGAAGTGCAGGTGGGGAATGGGTATTAAATTTGAGCAAGATAAGCTAAGGTATGGTATGGCCCTTTGGGTTTGGGTAT